TGAGGTGTTGGCTCTTGTATCTTGATACGAATTCCCGCCATATTAATTAATATAGCAATTTGACAAATTCTATCAATTCTACCACATTTGAGTTTATTAATGAAGTCTTCATTAATGTTTGAGTTAGGATCCGATACATTTGTAATTGAAGTCTATAACTTTTAATCTTATAACTTCCTTATAATAGGAATTCAGTATTGTGTGAACCATTTCGATTTAGTAAAAGTTAAATATTAAGTCAAAACTTATGTAATTGGGGCCACCAAATTGTGTTACGGCGTATGGCTTCAAGTATTTAATTTAGGTATCTGACGTTCAAGTTAAATTGTCTTTTGCTAAACTAATCCTTGATTTTATTATTAATATATGACCAGTTTCACAAAATTGTGAAATGTAATTATAGCATATCGCTTGAAATATTATCGCAATTTGCAACTAATTAACTAATTAAAATTACTTTAACATATTATATATCTTTATGTAGTCTTTGATGCATTTTATAATTGAATAGATTATACATAAGTGAGTATTCTTCGTAAGCAAAATAGTACACGTGAGGAGGTGTTTATCACTTGCTACCTCGAGTATGTAATGCAGCCGATTTTTACTGCTTCAAACCAGATCACGTCGTCCTCTCACAAAGGACTATATAAATAAACAAACCATAAACCAAACTATTTTTTTTTATTTAAGTAAACAAGTTACAGCCTCAATGCGTTTCGATTTATGTTCGATTTGTTCAATATTTTACTACTGTATAGATGAATCTAGTTCGTGATTAATACTATTTTACTATCGTCTTCATCTACTAGTATGTTAGTTAATAGCTATATTAGAATGGGTTTAAATGTTTTCAAAGTAGGAAAAAATAACAACAGTATATTCATATAAAATATTAGCAGCATTTGTAAAAGCTTGTCATCAATAAATAGCTTCCTGTAGCAGCGATGTGTTATCGTTTAGTCATGTAGTGATGTCGGCGTGCGCTGCGGTGTGCGCTAGGGCCCTCGCGCGGCGTCGCCTGCGTCCGCTGAGTCTATTCCCGTTAAATAGGTCAAGCCGCTCCCAACTTAGCTGCAAGAACGAATACAAAAAGAGTAAAGCGCGCGCCGCTCGGTGCAACAACTCGCTAACCGGAGTTTAATCTTAGATTACTCATAGATGATGTTATACAGGATGCTTCGTATTCGTTTCAATCTCCAAATTTTATTTAAAGTTGCTTTTTCGCAGATCTATCAAAAGTTTTATTTATTTTAAATTTTAATAAAGGAAGGATGCGGCTTAAGTAATTCGTAGTAATAGCAACCGTTTAAATATGTATAGTACGTACAGACGATTCTATAATCTGACTTTTTCTTTTGGAGAGCTACAAGTGAACAAGTTCTCCTTCCGTTTACTTTATCTTTACATATGAAAATGCCAATACTTCTTGTTTATGCATCACTCTTTGTGTGTGGTCCATCTGACTGTGTATTTTGGATTAAAAAACACAACCCCACGTCAGAGTTCACACGATCAAGGCTTTGCGTAAAAGAACAGTTGTCGGCATTGGGCCGTGCACATAATTTAAACAACATTATTGTGCATTTATTATGCGGAGACATTACGGAAGTGTCCGTTCGTGTCGACTCGTTAGCCTTACGCGGCGCCTTAATGCTTCATGTTTCATATACGTCTGGCGACGTGTTTGTCACTGACTTGGAAAGGATTAACCGAGTGATCAGTTAATGAATATTATACTTTAGCTCCGATACTTTTGGTTTTAAAAAAGATTAAATGTGTTAACTTACTTTTCGACTATTAGTTGGCAATATTACGAATTTTTCAGCACAGTTTAGTATTTGAATACAAGTAACTCGTTAGTAAACCAAAATAAAATTTAAACTGTAAGCAATAAATTCATAAATGTGGAAATTTTTGCGCGTAAATTATATTTGAGTCAAGTAAGCATTGTAGCGTAGTTTGCTTGTCCTACATACAATCGCAGAATTTGCGAAAATTATTCGTGTCACAAAATAAGAAAGTAATTGTTTGTATTAAAATTGTAATTAAGATTACTTTTAACAGGCTAAAGTGTAGAGTACATAAATGATAAACAATTATATTCATTTAGTCTGCATATCGAGGTCGTTTCAAATGAAATTTCGAAATCTCGACACCGTATAAAGAAATAATATGGTAAAAATGTTTCTTACTGACTTTAAGCTTAAATTATAGAACGTAATAGTGTTTAAAAGATCTCTAGCTATGGAATTAATTTAGGTTAAGCAAGACCTTTGAAAAATGATAACAGTAAAAATGTTGTTCGTCAGTGAACTTTTACAATAAACAGTTCTTTAGACTATACTGCTGTTAATTTATTCTAAAACAAGCTTAATCTAAAATGAGACGCATATAGACTTCCTATAACGTCATTATTCTAATATTCTGTGGTAAAAAAATATAAATATCAATATTAACTATATTTAATAGAATTAGTTGTTAGTCAATTTTATTTATTATTTAGTCTTCTTCATAAATATTAAATAATGGTGTGATTGATTAACATTAATTGATCGTAATGTATTATTTATTAGTGCGGTTACCATTTTTAGTATTGTGGATGACAACAATGACACTGCTTTAACTACAGTTATCCGTAAAGATTAGTTACTGGACGTTGCCACTACGTGTATCAAGTAACAATGTCTGAACCAATGCCCTCTATCTGTCGAAAAACGCTGGAAATGTATAGATTAAAAAACCCTGTTTTACTGACTTTTTCATTCATAATTTTTCGATTGCTATGACATGACAATATGAAGGGACTTTATCCATGTTCATATTTTAAGTTACTATAATTTGGGGATGCGTAACGTTAACCGTGTGACGGTGGCGCCAGGCCGCAAGTCGCACGCGCGCGTTGCAATAGGCCCGCGTTGTGCAACCCGACTATTTATACACCCTCCGAGTGAAGCTCTGCGCCCGACAGACGGAACTTTCTCCGCCATTCCATGCACATTATACCAACATTATCTCAGATTTACACGTGCGTTTTACCGCTGATGTAGATGTATGGAAGAATACACAGAGTTGAATCTCCGGTGGGAACAGAGCCCAAGATTATGGAATGGTCTTCGATTTTCTTTGATTTTTCATATTTACATGTTAGTTGAGGAAAAAATCTTTAATGCAGTGCATTTTTATGGGCTATTGTGATGGCTTAATATGAGCAGTGATGTACAGGTGCTTTTTTTCCACTTGTATATAATATAAAAGATATTTAAACTGAAATTGGTATATTTTTTAATACTACTTATAAGTCATATTTTTAAAAACTGGTAACTTTTTACGTAGTAATTATTCGCTGTGTTCTTCAGGTGTATATGTATTCACTTCACTACTTAATGATGCTTGTCTACTATACTATGAAATTAGAAACTGTCAGATGGAAGTTTCGCAGATAACATATGTATACAGTATTGAAGGAGGTCGAAGTATCCTTGTCGTTGTTAATGTCTCAACTGGCCAGGGCAAAGTTCAAGAACAAACAAGTTATTTACATTAAATATAAAAATTTTGATTTCCGCGTTGGCTGTAAATGGTCAAAATTAAGGTCAGAATAGAAATGGACGACATTACGAATATTTAGTTACAACGTATAAACATCGTAGGCGACGCTTCTGACTATTTTGGTGAATTGAAGGTCTCAGTTGAGGTTATGGAAAATCCTTGAATTCATGGTTAATACATTCTGCAACATTATTATTCATTGTCGTAATGTCAATGTCAATGATACCAACATTTACGGACATAGAATATTTTGTAACCGAGGACAAGTGCGTGCGGTTTTGTTACGCGGGAATACTCGAACCGCTCAACGCTCATATAATGTACTCCGGCGATTGCTCATTATTACTGGAATATAACAATAGTTTTGCCATGTGGACCGCTGCGACGGCTGGTTCACAGAGTCAGATATTACAAAGGGAAACGATCTCCCATAAACCCCGGCCCGCTCCCAGATGCGGAAGCGTCCCGAGCCTACGCATTGTTCCTAACGATTGTTTTTCCATTTTCCCCCGGCGTCGTTCCCGAGCCGCGGGCGTCGCTCCTGCGGTTGACCGCCGGCGACCGTGCGTCGACCCCGCGCGCCGCCTCCTGACTGCCGTGCCCTCTTATCGCGCGCTTTCGCGCCATCTCGATTCGAAATTCGAATTGTCATTTTTGGAAAAACAAAAAATTAAGACATGTCCGAGTGGCCAGTGACAACTGTCAATTACAAAACGATAAAGGAACCATATTTGGCAGTACATTTTGAACCTGTCCCTCTGGGATCGAATGAGGCGTCGTGTAATGACCGCTTTGTCACTTCATCTTAATTTTAAAGTGGTGCAAGTACGGCGAAATGTGATTTCCGTTCGGCGAAAACGAAAGAAGAAAGATTTTTTTTGCATAATTTTATCAAAAAGTCTTATATGTTAAGTGTGCGGTATGATGATGTTTCAAAAATGAATTTCAGTTGTCTATTTTTATTAGTGGGTTCGATTAGTAGCGACAACGGCCTCTGGTCCGGGTGCGACGCCCCCTGGCGGGCATCCAATTACTCCCACGTTTCTGGGGGTTGCTCACAAAGTTTTTCCTCTACAACACATATCGTCGTTACATGTCATTTACCTAGAAAATTCTTCGAAAAAAAGCTTGTGAAACAATTTTAAATCTGTCAACACTTAATGACAAACTATGAAATGATCTTTTAGACTATTACGATAGACTGTTCAGACTAGAAGTGGGTAAGAGTTTTGTTCTTAAGATCATAACGATTTGTCTACAATTTTATTTCATGAAATGATTATTACAACTTCAACTCTGCTGTACGAAAGCTTCAAAAGTATTTGCATGTAAGGAAAATATGCAATTTGTCTATTTAATGTACGAGGAAAAATATATAAATTGAGGTATAATAAAAAAGCAGGTTATGTAAAAGACATTTATTAAATAAAATATGCTTATTACGCAAAAACCTAATGATAATCAAAGTTATAATCTGAAAATAATAATGATTTACAAATTAATAAATGATGATCGCTTTTTGAATCCAATTTGTTTTTGCCTTAAACACACAATTGATAACTAATTTAAGGTCTAATGTCAAAGTATCGATACTTAACATAAATCACAATCATCATGTTCTATGTCAACAAATAGTAGACGAAACGATCAGATCTAGCATCTCTAACTCACACAAGACATGTACATCTGTCACTTCATCGTTGCACCAAGTTGATCAAGACGATATGTTCGCCGCGCACCATCAGCTGCGGGACATGTCGCCTGCACTCCCATACACCCTTACCAATAGGTTTCTCTGTCACTTTCGGCACAGGATACATCGCCGCCGCTGTACCTTTGTCGACCGGTGCACCTGAATATTACAGCCCAAGTTAACTATTTAACAAAAAAATGGTATCCGTTAGAAAGAGAATAAATATTTATTATGAAACGGCCGGAAAATCCCCATAGCCGACGTTTACAAATTTCAAATGTAAATATAATTCTGTCTGCTTGCCTGCCTGTAATATATTTCATATCATGTTACCTTATTTTCAACAAACTGTAGGGAATTTTGAATTAGATCTTTATCGCAAACTATTAAGTTATATTTTTAAATAATTTATGTGAAGAACAACACAAATTAATATTTAAAATCTTAAAGATAAATAGATATTCATGCTTTATTATTTTATCAGATCGGTTGGTCTCTTTTCAACGCATAGGCTGATGTAATAACATTACCTCTTTAGATTGTCTTTTGTCAAAAGTGATCGCTCTATATACACTTCTATATGGACAGGCTATAAGCCGTAGTATTCTGTGCCTATTTAATCTCCGCCATTGGATTGGCGCTGACGGTGGTTAGGATATGAACTAATTATAAAGATAGAATTAACTGTTAAAAATGAAATTTCCAAGCAATGTACCTATCCATTTATAAAGATCAGTGCCACATACCTACAGCTGGTGGTATCTTTCTTTTTGTAACGGCTCTCTTGTGCCAGATCTCCAGTACGTCTGTAAGGGCGAGGTTCCACTGCTTGTCAAAGGCGATCAGATTGGCATGAAGCTCTCCCCTGAGTCCCGCCGCTCCTCGCGTTATCACCTGTGAATAGAAGGGAGTTTAGATAGTACTTGATAAATGTTACATTACGTGTATAGAATTGTTTGTTTTATCTTATCTAGTACTATAGTTATATTTTAATAGATAATTTATCTATTACTAGTCATAGTACTGTTGATACCTGAATACTCTTTCGACGTTCAAGAAAATCCTTCCATCATACTAATATTATAAATGAGAAAGTTTAGATGGATGGATGTTTGTTAGAAGTTATCTCATGAACTGTATGGATCTCGCTGTAAATGTAGAACATAGTCTGGAAGAAAACATAGGTCTATAAGGTTTTTTTTTAAATTCTAAATGGACGGAGTCGCGGGTTACAGCTAGTAATAAACACACGTGAAAGAATAAAACCTAGCCGTCTTTTTTCGTTTTATGATTTACACTGAGTCGACGTTATGGTCTATGTCCGTCTACACTACACTTTAGTCTCTTCCTTTACCTGCACCGTTACAGCATTAGAATCGCAAATCAAAATAACTTTGACGCATAGCTAACGGCCTGTGAAAATAACAAAAAAATATCAGAGTCCCGTAAAAGGCGCTTGCATAAATTGCCTTCATACGGAATACTCGCGAACCATTATGGCTTTTAAAGAACAGGTTATTAGATCCGTTATCGTGTTTGCGGTACGCTTTTATGAATTCAAACGGGAATCGAATACGTCACGGGACTCCAAGTGTATTGAGATTGCTATATGCAGAAATGTTTGTAGGTAACATTAAGTCAAGTATTTAATACTAAGAACTATGTAAAAATTTGAATATTCATCAGTATCTTATTCAAGACAGCATTAGTTAAGTGTCCTTTTAATCGAAGAAGAAGAAGTAAGGCATAATATAACAAGAGAGCAAAATTTGTTCCCCATGCAAACTAAAAAAATGGTCTTGACAGACAGACGGACGGACAACAAAGTGATCCTATAAGGGTTCCGTTTTTTTCCTATGAGTTACGGAACCTTAAAAATATAAATAGAACATAGTAAAGTAATTTAAATAATTAGCAAAACAATTCAAGTACTTTTTACGATCTAACGTATGGTAAAATTAATATAAAACAGTTCACGATACGGGGGGTTCAAAACCTTAGTGCGTAACAATCTCGCTAATGTTTTCCTGGTAACGTATTTGCATTGCGGTGGGTCTGCGAGGTCCGGCCCCTTTCCTGTCAGCACCACATCGTACATTACAAACATACTGCACCCGAGCTATAACTACGGAATATCTGCGACCTTAATACTCCAGGTTGCTGATCGAAGATAAAGCTAGGCCTATCTTTATATGAGACCAACACTATGTTAATTGTTTATATATGAAAAATGCAAATCTGCGGAGTTAATAAAGATATGTTATGTGATTTTAAAAATCTTAGTATGATGGCGAACTACAATACTACTTGAGAAATAAAACACCCTTTATGTAGTAGTATGAAATTCACTTGTAATCATTTAACTAAAATTGGATTTATTTTGTTACAGGCTATTGCTGTGAGTCCGTCAGTGCCACCTACTGTGTTCAGATGTAAACAGGACTTCCATTTTTAGAAAATGCCAAAGAATTGTCTGGTAAGTAAGGATATCTACGGCTCAATAATGCAATTTTTGAATGTAAATCACATAATTTGGCTGGTCATCACAATATTTTTAATTAAGATTTAGTCGCATCAAAACTTGACATCCATATTATTTGCTACTTACGTCATCGTCAAAATTGGTATTAAAATTTGTTCAGCGCCCTCTACCGGACGTAAAGTGCACCAACAAATCTCAAACAAATTTTGATATATTTTGTGGATGACGTTACGAAGGCGCGTATCGCCAAAAATTTATGCTAGGTTCTTTTCTCCTAGACTATAGATACTAAAAACAATGGTCTAGTAAATCTAATTCTTAAGCACGTTAGTTGCATAGACCTGTTAAATATGTAGGGCCTCTTTCTATTAATAAACAAACATGTTTAATCAAAAGTATTTATGATAAGAACATATTCGACTGGTAACATTTCTAATTTTTCCTACTAAATACCAGCATGCCCTTTAATTGAATGGAAAAAAAAATCAAGACGCGTGATATGGAAAAACACCGCATGAGTAGCAAGGTCCTTTGATAAATAAGTATTCCGACTAATATTACGGAAAAGTGACAACTTTATCCTCATTCACCTTTGTATTCCAAATCCCAAGATCGGTTCGTTTATGTCTCGCCTTGGTGCCTAAATGGAGAATCATAATAAAGCTTGATAATGCTATATTGAGTATTTTTTATTGTTACTAAACAGCTCCTTAGTGACGGTTTAAGCACTCGTAGTTTGGTAGATATTTGACCTCGTGAATTGACAAAATTCTGGTTATAACTAGTTTCAAATGTGTTAGTGTAGTCTAAAAATCTGGTAAAACATTGTAAAAACTAATTCTGGGAAATACAGTGCTCTATCTAGTAGAACAGTTTTTTATATAAAATATATTGTTCGAAATAATTAAAATACTTTTTAGATATCATTGTTATATAAAAGCGAATCACTGCTGCGTATTATTTAAATAAAACACGGCAAAGAACTAGATCTTTTTGTCTTTCTCTATTGTAAATTTAGACTAATCTAGACTACAATGTTAGATGAAGTGGTAACAATTCTTTGAATTGAGTTTTAATGAATGAAATATTTACTTTGTTAGGTACAAAGGCAAGTTTATAATTAAATATATTAAGATACTTTTGATAATGATAGTTACAAAGGCGCATTAATATCTATGATGGTTCAACTCAACACTGCTCAGACTTCACCCCAATTCATCGGGCGATTGTCGTATCATAAACTGGCTTAATATGTCAAGGACAGATAAATTCGTTTATCCGTACTGACCTATAATTCAATCAGCTCGACGCCAAACACACGTAAGCACACACACAAGCACGTGCATACACAAACACCCAGACACTCCCGCACACGACCTCGTACCGGGCCGACTCAATTTGTAAGCACCCAGCCAAGGTTCCGCGGATCTCGACAATTTTATATATAGCTGTGATGTTTTTCCCCTGCCTGATATGATGGGAATAACTCCATTTTTTACTTCTTCTGAGAAAACTAAGTTATTAATGATCTTAGCACTTTAATTTGATACTTTCCGAGAAACTGCGAAAAATTGCCGTCAAAATATCAACTAAAAGTATAAAGTCAATTTCAATCTGATTTAATTACAACATTTTTATAGAGTTTTTTTAGAGAGAAAACCTTTTGTGAATTCTAAGTATGACAAACCGGACGCTAACTAAATTGATGTCACCGAAAATATGATTAATACAAGATTTTATATTTGTAAATTAGCTGAACTACACTAAAATACACAATTTTCAACAAGTTCGAATCAAATGGTAATGTGTTAGAGAAGAAATCATAAACATTACAATAATCACAAACAGGTAAGATGTCAACAACAACAAAATGATTCAATTCAAATATTATACAGACGGACAGTTGTAGAAGCGACCGAGACGTTTAATACATGTGAGTGTTTATTACAAAATCAAGGTCCGGATAAGGGCATAGCGTATAAAATTGAGTCTCGACTCAGTGTCAATAAAAATGGCGTCTCTGTGTTCCGGGTGGAAAGTTGTTCTCGCACAAGGTCGGAGGCGCCGCAGTCGTGAGGGCACTGCTCCAATATCTGCACTTGCCGGCTTACCTCACACGATTGCACGACCGACAATAAACCTTGTGGCCAACTAAATTTGACTTAAAGTCGACCATAAATCGGGATTATTTGCACATTAAAATTGGAATTTTGGATATAGTAACGTTGATATCAAATCTTGGCAGAGTTTGATCACTGATGTTGAAACAAAATAGAACGTAGACAAAGTATAGAAGAATGCTAAGATCGTTTTAAGTGATGACGTCACATGTGGGAACTGCAGTATTGTAGGAAGAACATTGAGGCAGGCAATTTAGTAATCACCGTCGAGACGAGCTCAATTGCATCAAGTACGATGCAGGTGAAGGCACGACATCTCGCCCACAGGACTACACTACTATTGATTCACTGGAACAAGAGTCTCGCGTCTATGATGTGATTTCATTTAATTTGGTATATTTAAAAAGTTTACTTGAAGAAAAAATAAACGAACAAACAACGGAGTACAGAAACAAAACACAGCGACGACGCTTTAACCTGAAACTGAAAAGATAGGCATTCCATTGTGTCCATTGTTTGGGCCAGACGAGTCGCAATTGCAATCAGCGAAGAAAGCGGACAATTTGTTTGTTTTACTTAAGTCAAAGCTAAGTCTCGAGGTTAGCAGATGTTTACAAAAACGTCTTTATTTTTGTTTACTTCAATGTGACCTTAGCATTATAATAGAAATGATTTTGTTTACTGCGCCTATACCATGTTTACATTTCCTATCTCCACGATATTTTTCAATAATTGTTATGTTTTCTTTTAACAACAACATAATATTTCAATAGAGACTCTTCAAATATAAAGATCCTTCAACCTTATTTATAGTGAAATTGAAGCAAGAATCTGCTAGAATCGTTGAGGAAAATAAAGGATGTTTAAAAGAATCAACAAGTAATATGAAAGTCAGACATGTCGATGCTAAACTAATGTTCCTATGTATTGACTGTCAATTATTGATATTGATTGGTGATGTTCGCAACTCGCTGCGTCCAATGGGAGCGCATGCTGCGGCGACTCATCAAGTCCCATTAGAAGCTGCACTAGCGCTGCTGCAAACAAAAGCAAAAATCTAACACACTATTTATAGAATGAAACAGGAACAATACAATCATAACGTCTATTAGATTACAAAAGAACTAAGCTTTCAATTAAAGATAATTTTGGTGCTATAGCGACGTCCAAAAGGTTTCCGAAGGAAATAATCGTATCGACTCCAGCAGCGTCCTATTATTGATAAACCTAATTACGAAATCAAAATCCAAATATACCTATTTATCAATGATCCTGGACAAAAAATACTAAACCAGAGACACGAATATAATCAACAAATCTAAATTGTATGTTGAAATTACGCAATAATAGAGCGCCCAACGCCCTTCGCCTTGGTATCCGCGAGCCAAGTGTCCCGGCCCGTGACATCGCTTGATATCTGCGACCATTATAGCCGCACTATTTCAGTACCAGGAAGACATGACGCAGACCTGCGGCCTTACCAATAACATGGGAATCTGGAGACAGCGCAATCTAAAGATACAATATAAGCCAAGTAGCGCGATATTCCACAAGTATTAAGATTGTTCAGGTTATTTAGATTAAAGACATCATTTAGTTCATGACAATGTCCTGTTTATCGTAATACATACATCAGTTCCTACATCACCATAACATATTTAAGATATTGGCAATTAAAAGTTTGTCATGTTAAGTATCCTTTGAAATTACACTCTTTGAACGAAGACAAGCAAGTTTGGAACACAAAAATACGAATATCAACAGTTTTAAACTTTAATAGAAACAATAGATTAATTATTTCAACGTTCAAGTGTAGTTACGATCTATTACGATTGCGCCCGGACTATTATAAGTCGAACGGAAGGAAAATCTATAAGTTTCGTAAGATGTCAGACAAGAGAAGGCTGCGACGCGGCCGTGGTGAGTGCACAGCGCGGGGAGGCGCACGTGACTGCAATGCGAGATCTATCTATACATAGTCCTGATTAACTTGAGAAAGCTTTATCAGTGCTCTACAAAATATGAAATTCAAAGATATTAATTCCACGTATGGAGATTTTAAATTCGCTCTTGAAGTCATCTTCTTTAAAATATTACTAATTATTTTAGTTGCAACAGCCTATGGTATTTTGCTATGAATTTAAATAGATTTCAAAATAAAGAAGGCGACACCGGTCACGACAGTATTTACGAAGAAAGATCAAATTCTTTTGAACGTATAAAAGGATTGTTAAAACGATGAAAGTGAAAAAAAATCCAAATCTGCGAATCAAAGTGCGCGGCTGTGGGTTTGTGCTCAGGTCACGTAGAGCAAGCGGCGAGTGAAAGTGCACGAACGACGGAGCTGCGATGTCTTTATTTACAGATCGAACGAAATCGCCGAAAGTAATGATTATATCATTATTGATTATATCATTACTTTCCGTGATTTATCACATTTGACTTCATTAACATGCGTTCTAATTGTGTGATAGGTGTCTGTATGTCCGTTCCACAATATACTCGTAGTAACCTCCAAAAGCCGGTTGTCCAATATGATGGGTGAATTGTTTGGTAAGCTTCAAGAAGTCACAGAGTATTAAACTCAGTCGGGTTCAACGTTTTACTTAATTATTTAACAATTATTTCACTTTATGATAGGTCAGGTTACTTGAATGTAAACTTAAGATTAAAACAATGGAAAACGTCAGAGGTAAGGTTAGTAAAGATTTCCTATAATTTTAGTAATGTTCCTTTTCATAAACATTTATTTCTTTGTATTAATTTTTCTAGGTTACTCTTAAAATAAACTCGTTACTCTCTCTAATAATCGACGATATGGCTCCAAACAAAGATCACCGTCACCAATTTCTCTGTGTTAGTACAAGCTGTATT